CGGGGGCGGGGGGTCGCGATATAGTGCTACCCTGTGTCAGTAGGCCGAAAACGGCACTATATCGAACCAGGCACTGTAGGATAATGAGATTTACGGCTTTTTTGCAGCCACTCCCTTGCGCATCACTGCTCAGAAAGACCGCTCGCAGGACGCCATCACTCATACTTTGCATCTTCACTACAGACTCGAGTCTAATCAAGCATTTCTGTTATTACTAGTAGCTGCCGAGCCGTCGCATTGACTCCCTCCTTTTTCGCAGCCATAAATGCCAGCCTACACTTTTGCAGATGTCCAATTGCATCATCGACCCTGCCTTTTTCCGTCATAGTCTCTATTCTAGTAAGCAACTGCATAATATCTTTCCGCGGCGGCAGCGGCTCTCGGGCAGTACGTCCATCCAACTGCCTTGCCTCTCTGGTGTCTAGACGACAAGCAATTTGACCTCATATGAGGTCAGTCATGGCCTCATATGAGGCCAGCTTTTTTTTTGCAAAAATATATAAATTAAATCGAAACTTTAAAACATTCAGTTTGGACACCATTTCTTTAACGTATACGCGCTCGGCAATAACATCTTGCAAAACATTGGGATGGCGGTTGTCAATGCACAGAGAGACTAAGAATCTAATGAACTATCAATGATGAGTTGACTTTTTAAACAGGCGTTTTGGTTTCGAAGATATCAACATAAAACGTTTTGAGGTTGGTCAAAAAAGGCTCCTTTTTGGGCATTTTAAAAATGGCTGGAGAAGACGTGCAGATCTCACCAAACTCCACCCTTCCACAACGCAGAAGTCAACTGCCGTGTCGAGAGTATCTTTTTTCCATCTTGTTGAGCTAGCACAAGTCGAGAAAAATAAGTTGAAAAGTGACCTCATATGAGGTCAAATGGCCTCATATGAGGTCATTTGTCACCTAGACACTGGAGACCCTTCGTTTTTGGCTCAAAATTCGTGCCACCCCTAGAAGGGTAGCACTATATCGGAGCTGGCACTAACAAAGATGGCACTATATCGCGACCCCCCTGTATAAGATTAGCTTAAGAAAAATGCTTCCTCTAAGCCGATTTTTTTCTTTTGAACACCTTCATGTGCATCAACGAGTTGGCTTTCACTAGAATCGACAAGCGAATGCTTTATCTGTGGTGATGGCCTTCTGGTTTAAAAAAAAACGTAAGTGAAATCGTGAGTTGTGTTGTCTAGAAAAAATAAAATAACATTTGTCCTCATATGAGGACTAACGGTCCGATAGACACTAGAACGGCCCGTTGAGTCGCGAATTACGTGATATGTATATATATTTGCAAAAAAGGGCAGTCCTCATTTGAGTACGGACCCCGGTCAGAAAGGCAATAGCGTGAATCTTTACTCGCTGATAGTGCGTCAGAACAAGTTTTACTGGATGGACCTGCTTTAAAATTCTAGCACTTAGAGAGAACTCGCACTGAATTCAAGGATATTGAAGGAAATAGCGTTGTCGTTCATTGCGTTTACGTCAAATGTAAATCCAGCGCAAATTTGAAACGAGCTCTCCTTTTGTCATGCCGGGAATCAATCAAAGTGTTGAAGGCCATCCCAGCTTCGATCATCAGTCTGGTTCGCCTTCTGGTTCATTACCCTCACGACGTCGGCAACGAAGACGGTCCACTAGTTTTCACTGCGCTTCTGTGTGTCGTGACTGCTTGAAACATGAAACAAAGCAGTGAATCGTCCGCATATGTTGCCGGTAAACGCAGGTGCGCAGGGTGAAAAGTCAAGCAGGGTTTCATAGCAAGAGACGGCCGTTGCGAAGTGAGCAACCTCTTCAGTTAATCCCGCACTCTTTTTCCCGAGCGAGTACTGCTACCTCCCTCGCCACAGCTAAGTGGTGCGGTTTGGTCAATCCGTTAATTAGACCTCAGGGCCGCTCATTCAACTTACCGAAACATCGCAGAGTTTGGTCAGGTCGTTCAAGTTGACATCATGGCCGTGTGTTCAACTTGACCCACACATCTTCCGTCGCCATCATCTCGGCAATAAGTTCTTGGACCCTTTTCTTTGTCTTTTCCGCCCATCCCGGGTTTGCAAGAGATGAGGAAGGATTAGGATGCATAAGCGAGCCAATCACCATGCCCTTCTTGACAAAATCCTTGAGCGCAAATCGAGACCTCTCCATTGGCCATCCTCCTATGCCTACGACCATCCTAGGGCGTAATGCCGCCACGACTGCGCGCAACGCCTCGTCGCATATCTCACTGACTTTGAGGCGCTCATATGGATGGATCATATTTGGTGAGATAAGCTTTCCGGATTTGCGCAGAAACATCAGTGGGCAGTATGTATAAACAAAGAAGCGTTCGAAAAAAGCTTCTGGATTCTCGCCGTGTGTGGCCCTCGCCCACTCATTCCAGAGTCGATGACCGCTTGTATCCGTGAGAGGCTCTTCTAACCCTGTCACAGGGCGCTTCGGATGTTCATTTTCTGGCTTTTTTATGCTGACAGTTTCTGGTAAACCCATCCAGTCGCGCACAACGGATATGTCTCCAAAGGGTATTCCAGTCTGTCCCATACCAAGGGGCTCTGGGTTCAAACCGACAAGCAAGATTTCCTTCCGTGAGTTGGCAAACTTTTTTGTGTACCTGTGAGGATGGTCAATGAATCAGGAGGATGTTAGAGACTATTGCGGGTGCTCACCAACGTAAGCAGAAGGACGTGGACAGAATGATTTTTAGGTTCGGGTTTCGCTCTTACTGACCATTCATGCGCTTCACTGGCATACACCAGGGGGTTGTAGGTGCATGCGATAGGGTCTTCATACCAAAGGTCATGGCTAAGCCTATGGCTCATGCGGCGTTCAGCTGCGAGGACTCTTTCGGCAATACCAGGGGGTGGAGCATCCCTGATGCCATCAGATTTTTCCCCTTTGTGCCGCTTCCTGGCTTGCCGAGGGTCTCCTTCCCCTCTGGCTTTTCGCGCACGCTCAGCAAGTCTTTTGGCTGAACTCATCGTGTTAGTGGCAGTGTCGTCATGAACTGGTTGTATGTTTACGAAGCAAGGGCTCATATCGTGCGAGAGGAGCTGTTTTTCAGCTGGAAACCCTTGATTCTCAAAAGATGGATGTCGTCGAACTGCTCAGGCCATAATCGGGGAAGCTGGGCTTGGAATCGTTTGAAGCGCCTTAAATAAGTCTCTGTTCGAGCTCCTAGAATCGGATAAAAGCGGCAATCCGAGAACGCAGGGAAGAATCGGATTAGAACATGAGCGGCAGTTAGTCGGGCGGATGTGCATCGCCGTGGGCATTTGGGTTGAAATCGCGCTGAGGCAGCAAAAGATCCTTGAGTGCAGGAAGCGATTAACTTCCAATCAGGTGGCTGCGCACAGACGCATGGCGCATCAGATACTTGCTGGGGAGAATGGATCTTCTCCTTTTCTAATAAAAAAAAACATATTTATTGCCCAAGAAGATTTCGCAGCTCACTGCACCTCACTGTCCCTCTAATCCTCATCAGATCGGCGGTCTCCAGCGGCTTCATCGTCTTTTCTTGCTGTACTTTCTTACCGAACATGATATCTGGGATTGCAACATGGAGCATGATAAAGCCATGCGGACGCTTCTTAGCAACAATAAGGTTGTGGCGAAGACAATTTACGTGCGGTATTGACATCCTGTCAGATCTACCGTACACTCCTTCCGCTTTCATCACTGAAGTTTACTGTCCTTGCGAGTGCGCAATGGTCAGTTTTCAGCATGCACGGGTTAAACTCAAAACGGACCGCACACGTGAAGTCTGCATTTAAATCTACAGCTGCATATCGTAGAGTACTTCCCCCAACACCCTTTCTCTATTAGAACGCGAATAGGTATCAAGTTTTTCGAGCTCAAATTACAAATTCCCGACGCGTGAGGAGACGATAAGAACTTATATTGAACTGCATTGCTGAACAGTATGGCAACCACAATCTACGGTATGAATCGATGTCGCCGTCAAAAACATGAATTAAATGCAGTTCGAGGACCATTTGTTGTTTCGGGAAGCAATGCTGTTTCTGCCATATCATGTTTTCGATCACTGTGTTGTGCGGTGCGAAGCAGAAGAAAGTTGTCATCATCTCTGTGAAGTCGGGAAATGCGACTACGGACAGGACACCGGAAGGATGACTGCAAATCCAAATGCCACGAAGTGATACTAACATCAGGAGCGGACTACCTTCGCCTCGCATGCAAGTCTGGACGCAGTCGAAGACGAGTCTTATAAGATTATTCGGCTGGTTTTTGCGCTCCTCAAGGATGATGCATGATAAAACAAACAGCATCGTCAATCATTGCCAAAGGTGGCTGGAGGTATGACCGTTTTTCTTGTGTGTGTAGTTTATCTTTCTCCAAAGTACAATACTACTGTAAGAAACGATGTGCGCTGAAGACGGGACCGCGTGGCACAAGCAAGTTTTGACATGGATAATGCAAAAACCAGCCTGTTAAGACACGCCCTTAGGGCGTGTCTTAACAGGCTGGTTTTTGCTTTGCCTTGCCCGGTTTTGCAAGGAATACTTTTAAATTCTTAACAAATACCGAATGCCTCTTAAGCCCTTGCTTTTCTTAAACACATAAATTAAAACGTAGGAGCCACTCATAGCACGCCAAATCACTTCTTTGGGCAAAGCAAAGCAAACCGCAGCAAAACGGGGCATGTTAAGACTCTTAACATGCCCCCGTCTTTATGCGGCAGACACGGGAATAAATGTCCGTCTCTGAGGGCTCAAGGCAGTTGTCTCGAGCTAGTCGGAGCTACAGATTCCCGCGTTGGCTGTACGTGTGGAGCGTGGCCGCATACGGTTGGTTGGCTAGGAGCGAACGCGACGCTGTCCTCCATCAACAGCGAACTGTACGTACAGTACGTGGGATTTTTTGAGTTGGTCCCAACTCAAAAAATCCTAAGTACTATAGATAGTGTCCGGCACGGTACGTAGGAGGGATCCTACTTCCCAGGAAGGAGTCCTACGTACCGTGCCGGACACATAGGAGGGATCCTACTTCCCAGGAAGGAGCCCTACGTACCGAGCCGGACACTATCTATCTATCTATCGAGACACTGCACTGCATCTTAATGCCGAGCACTGTGATGTAGGGACACAATTCTCTGAGACGAAAGTGCGATGTGCAGTGGCCTAGTACTGTTGTGTACGCGAGTGAGGAATGGAGAGATCAGATGCCTGGGATTTAAAATTCGCCATTCCTGCGTAGAGTGCATGCACGCAATAGGGGGAGGCAGGCGACCGCACTGGTACGTGAAAGAGCAACACAGCAGCTTCAAGCTTGCCGATGCATGCAGTACCAAGGGTACCGTAGATATTGAAATTGCGGGACGCCATGCGTGATCACCAAAAGGGCTCAACTCAGCCTCTACTTTACAGGCTTCGCTACGGAACGAAGGTGATGTTTTGCAAATGGATGGACGATGCGTAACATGTTACATCGTCCGTCCATTTGCAAAACATCAGGTACAGTATGAGATCCCTTGCAGCTACTGTAAAGCATTTGCTCTGGCGAATACTGTCACAGCGCAGGTCCTGTACCGAATACAACACTGTATTCCTTGCTGTAAGTGTTGCTTATACTGTAAAAGGTTAGTGAGGTGAAAAAGAGATGGCCAATTTCGGCAACGCCCAGTTGCCCAGTTACATGTGTTGTACAATTACAGTGAGGAGTTTTTAAACAGTTTTCTTGACGACATGCCGCGACAAAAATAGGGACGACCTCAGCATTCTTCACCCCATGGCCTCGATTTCTAGACTGAACGGCCACTATCTTTCCATCACCTGTGATGCAATACCTAAATACACGCCGGGCAGAGTTGGGAGCCTTCGCCCCAGCCTATAGCATCGACCAGAGTGGTCGATTAGAGCATCCTCCACCTAAGTTTGTTGCCCTGCTTCATTCCCCCACTCTCGTGCAGCTTGTCACTCCTCTTCAAAACACCGCCACTGGAATACCGATTCCCACACGCTTTCACGCCCCAGAACCAGACCTCCTACGTAGCACACCACCTGGTGCCTGCGCCAGCCGCACGCCCGCCCCACACTCATACGGCACCACATATTCCCTTTTCGGCTCATCCAACCTATGGCATTCATAAACCACCCGCCAACGCGGCTGACCAACTGACTGGACAATCTGCCCGGTCAGATGAATTATATTTAATTGAGAATGACCTCTCGCTCTTACAATGCTTCTCCCCTCAAAGAATCCCGTTGATGTCCGTTGGTGAGCAGTCGCAACCCCGCTTCAGATTCTATCACCCACTTCGCCTTACCCTTCCTCAAGCACATTTGACCCCCTCTGTGATATACCCTTCCCTCCATTACCACCTACACACACGCTTGCAACTTAAACACTAACTGTGGGTCGCATTGCTCATGACTCTTACGTCAAGCAAGCCCAATTTGAAGGGAATGCCGGCACATCCACCTGCGTCCAACGCCAAGACTTTGCCAAAAGAGCCATATGAAGAGGACCCAAGAGATGACTCGGACCCTCTCGCACCGCCGAAAGAGCTACGAGAAAGCTCGTACCTTTACACTTCGGAGACCTACGAAAGGCGGAAACAAGCAATGGCATCGTTCCGTGCGAAGATGAAGGCCCTGGCACATGCGCAACGGCACGGACAACCGTCGACAGCGATTCAACCTCTAAGGAGAGCGGAGAACGGAGAGGTGAGACCACCGCCAAAATTTGGAAGAACCGACGACCATTTTCTCATCGTCTTTCTTCGTGCGAAGAAGTTTAACGTCGACTTGGCCTTTGCTGAATATGTTAATTTCTGCTATGCTCAGATGGACCATGCTTGGCTCAAGAAGTTTGATATTGGTATGGTGGAGCATCTCATTTCTTCAGGCTCGTTTCAAATCCTACCGAAGACAGACAGGCGGGGGCGGTTAGTTATGTCTATGGACATCAAGGCTCTGATGCCGTACTTGGAGGACATCGGCAGGGACAGGATGCAAGACTTCTTAGCAGCTATATTTGCAATGCTGGAGACTATGATGCTAGACATTCGGGCACAAATTTTCGGTCTTGTTATCGTTGCCGACTTGACGGATTGCAGACTCAAGACATTCGGATTCCTCTCCGTGCAGCAATACCTTCTCTCACTTGAACTTTGCCAACACTGCTACCCTCTGCGTGCTAGCGGTATGTATCTAGTACACGAGCCTTGGTACGTGCGAGGAATGTTGAAGGTAATGAGACCTTTCATGAAGCAAAAAACCAAGGACAACCTACTCTGCTTTGGAACGTCTGTCAAACAGGTTCACAAGTTCATCCCGAAGGAGTCTCTCGGGCAGGCGTACGGAGGTTCGTTAAGGCTCAGTGATAGACGACATACGAGAGTATGGATAGATGCGGTGCAGGCCAGACATCGGTAGCACTGAATTATATCGAGTTTTGCACAGTGCATGTGAACCGTTTATCTCATTGAAGTCAGCAATTGATTTTTGTGAACACAACGCCAAGGCCGCGTCTCGGCACTGCTGTGTTTTGTTTAGAGTCTCTTCATTTTGGCGCTCAGTTCAAAGAACGAATGTTTCGAAAAGCCAGCTTCCGTCTATTCGAGTCGAGGCGAGACACGGAAGACTTGCAATAGAGGGAGCGTTATCCGTTGTCCATGCCGCAACAAGTGGCATGAACAAAAGCATCCTTGAAAGATTCTAATATTGACTCTATCGATGATGTGACAATGCTGTGCTGGCTAGCCAGCTGGCTAGCCAGCAAGGGGCCATGAGACAGCGCACGTGTGCCGCCATCCGAGCCCTCGGCGTCTTTTCGTTTCCCTACATTTATATTTTAAATATATGTTTAAAACATTTTTTTAAAATGTTTTAATAACACGAAAACATAGAGCCAGGATCTTTCTCTCAAGGGTTTCAAAACATTTAAAAGTTTTCTCTGTGAACAGCTTAATTCAACCATCATTGCTTTCCCGCCAAATTAGATAGAAGGTTGAACCCCCCCACTATGACGTTGTGCCGAAGCACGAGGCAATGACCACTGGCAGCCTTTGCTCAGCTTTGACGCTTTCTTTCGCCTCTCACTCCATCCGTCCTCACATCCTCTTTCGATCGCACGCCAGTCTGTCCCGTTGCACACACACCCGCTGCCGCCATGATGCTTGAAAACAACGCCGAAACGCCGTCCCCGTTCATCACGGCTAAGCAGCTAAATTCGTTCCTTCACAAGCCCGTGATCGTTGCGGGCAAGGTGTCTGCCGTTAGCGAGTCCACCATGACCCTCGATGGAGGCGACGCTGGGAAAGTCAACGTCGTTCGCTCCAGGCCGTCCAAGATCATGATTGAGTCCGGCATGAACGTCATGGTCCGCGGGTTTGTCAACCAGGACTTGACCGTCGCGGAGAGCAAGACGTTTCCCGCCACTGACTTGGGTGAGGGCTTCGGTGAGTTGCAAACCCGTCTGCTTTGCTCCAGAATTACCGTGCCACCATCTGATGTTGCCAGTCGTCTGACTTCTGTCCATTTGAAATTGCTCATCCTCTGCGCCTTGTTTCATCTACAAACAGACATGAAACTCTACAATGACGCTGCTGCAATCACGTCTCACCTGAACTACGTGCACATGTTCTCTACTTGAGACCTGAAGGTTTTCGCCCACTGTTTATAATGAAGTATCTTCACAAATTTGCCAAAGCTAGTCAATTAGTCTGTACACTTGAGTTAATATTCGTCTTTTTAAAGAATTTGGTGATGGAACAACTATCAGGGAAGTCCGTATTGCCGCCGCAATCTTTCGTTGTCTTCATGAAGTCGATGAACTTCTTTTTCCAGCTGCTTGACGCGCCTATCACGCTCCAAAAATGCAGCCTTAAATTCTTGTGACTGTCGGGCAGATGTCACAATCATTTCAGAGTGAATATTGAGGACATCGCTTCTCAGATCAGCTTTAACTACGTCAAGTTCCTGCGACATCATCTGTCTCAACTCATCTCGGAACCCAGCCAGCCAACTTGGAGCGCCATCCAGAGTTTGTGATTTTCCTAGCGATGGGGCGAGGTTGTCAGGAACTGCGCTCTGAGGCTTCACAATCCCGTTTGCCGCCGGTTTTGCCACCGTCTCTCTTTGATGCCGAGGAGTTATCCCCTTCAAGGAAGCATCAGCTGGACTTCCACCTTGCCTGCTTCGAGGTGACTCAAATGTTACGTTCGAAGCAGGCCTTGTCATTTTGTCCGGAACGGAATAGAAACGTGGAAATGAGGGTTTGTCTGTGGCAGATGCTGGATAACCGTGCGAAGAGCTGCGGGAGAATGCTGTAGATGGCTTTGGATTTTCAGTTGAATTAGAGGCAACGACCTCATTTTCGGATCGCGTTAAAGCGGATGGGACAGGACTGAGGTCTGATTTTGGGCTTCTGCTTCCCTCCCGCTCATCGCTAAACGCATTCCCGATATCATCTGAGAACGTACTGCCTTGCGGCTGGGACACGTATCCTCGCTTGGGGATCGAGGATCCGGATTTCGGCGGTAATCTCCCTGACAGCGAATCGAGGCTATCACTGTCGATGTGTAGTGCTTCAATATCTTTATAATCCGCCTGATGGTCCGAGTCACAAGCCGGTACGTCTCGTTCTGCCGCGTCAGTCAGCGTGATTGCTTCGATTTTCTCATTCAAAGGTGTAATGGGCTGAGCGGTGCGCGATCGAGGTGTCCTAAATGTAATATGCGCCTTTCTTCCCACTGTCTGAGGAGATTCGTGAAACGAAGTTGACTTGGTTACCCGTCTAGAACTTGGCTGATTGGCCCGTGGTGTTGGCGCGACCGGAGAGAAAATGTCACTATCCCTCGGCCCTGAAGCGCTGCGTAAGGCACGTGCTGGTGTGGTTGTCGGGTCCGAGACGACATCAAGGTGGCCTTCTAGCGCATCTTCGAAATCATCGCTCTCATCGCCAAATCCAGCAAAGAGCGAATCCGAGTCATAAGACGCATTACCGTTTCTCGTGGCAGCAGTATGTTTAGTCATCGAAGAAGAGCCTTTCGCACTGCCTGAAAGAGAAAAAGGGCGTTCAGTGCGCTTGAAGAAATTCTGGAGACCCTCCGTAATACTCTTGTCGGCCTTGCTGTCGACTGCATCCGTGGGCTGAAAATGAACAGAGCGCACAGCAGTCGGCTCCTCAGCGTCATCTCCATCGACGACGACCTCAGAGACCAGCTTTGCCGATTCATTCTCCGAATCGATAGTAAGAATCTGCATCTTTCCGTTTGTCAGGCCGACGGCAAGGTGCCGGCCATCCGACGCGAACGAGACAGCCGACACAGGAGCGGGGCACGAAACCGAAAAGCAAATCCTCTTAAGCGACGGATCGAAAAAGCGGAGCTGCTTGTCAAAACCACCGACACACAAGCTAATCTGCGCGGTCTTCGGCGCGAACGAAAGGGCGGCAGCCGGGGCGCGAAACGGGGTAGTGAAGCGAGAGTAGGTATCGTGCTGCTGCAGGGCGGCGAGCTTCGGCTCAGTGCGCGGCCTGGGGGCGACGTTCCTGGCGACGTCCCAGACGTTGAGGCAGCCGCTCTCATCCGTGGCGACAAGGAGGTTGAGGTGCGCCGGCGAGAAGGCGACGTTGGTAATCTTGGCGCCGGCGGTCGCGCCCGGGGACAGCCTGCGCTGGCGGCCGGCGGAGAAGGAGGCGTTGCGCGGGGACGAGGCGACGGCGAAACGCGCGACGAGGCGGTTGGACACGCGCGAAAAGAGCGAGACGGCCGAGGCCGTGGCGCACGCGAGGTAGCGCGCGTCGGGCGAGCGCTGGAAGGAGACCGAGATGACGGGGGCAGAGAGCGTGAAGGAGGCGACCGGGGCTTTCGAGGCCAGGTCGAGGACGGAGACGACGCCGTCCGAGCGGCCCACGGCCAGGAAGCGCGAGGCGGGCGAGAGCGACACAGACAGGATGTGAGCGGTGGACGGTGGACTGGGGGAGATCTCGCCCAATGCGGCGAGGGATGGCGAAGTGAGAAAGGTGAGCGAGGCGCGGTTAGACGTGACGAGGAAGTTGCCGGTGGGAAACCAGGAGACAGCGGTGGGCGGCGGATGTGGGAGGGCTTTTTGGTGGGGATGAAGGCGGAGGTGGCGATGAGTGACGGCGAGGACGAGGGGGGGGGACGTCATGGCGGCGGGGGGGAGGGGATGCGCGTGCAGGGCGGGGGCATTGACCGGGGGGTGGGAGGGCGACGGGTAGAGGGTGAACGCGCGGGAGCGAGCAGAGGGGGCGTCGAAGAAGCGGTTTGTTAAAAGCGTTTGAATTGGTGACGGCTTTCAACAGCGCGCCATTTTCGAGTAGCGACAGGGAGCGAGCTGAGCACCTTCTCCACGTGGCACTGTAAAGCACGCGCGATACCGTGATTTCTAATTCTGTAAGCCGCACCGGGCGGTATGGTGCAGTACAACAGTAAGTACTGAAGTGCCACCGGCCCAATCAGGATCGAATCGCACTGTCGCATACACCACGTGGAAATACCCTACTGGCTCGCATTGCTTCACAACGAGCATTCGCCAGAGCATTCGTCAGCGCCACTCTCACACCCCCCTGCCTCGTCTCGCCCCTTCCTCGCGTGTCGAGCCACTCATCAACGGCAGCAACGTAGCAAGCATGCGCCCCCTCTCCGCCCGACCACCTTGACATCGCCACGCCCCCTCCACCCGCGGCGGCGCTACGCCCGCCGGAAACACGCCCGCTTCACACCGCCCCGCAGTGTCTTCCGCCCGCTCGCGATGCACCCGCGCACCCCGCCATCGTTGCCGCGCGCTCTCGTGCCCGCGGATTCACGCGAAATGCCCGAGCAGAGGGGCTGTGGCCTTGGCGGCCAGATACAACAGTGCGACATTGTTTAGTGTACTTAGTGTCTCGACGACAACTGACCCCATGTGAGGCTCCTTTTCTACTTACTTTTCGCGACTTGTGCTTGCACAACAACAAGGAAAAAGATACACTCGCCAGCGCAGTCGGCTTCTGCGTTGCGGAAGGATGAAGTGTGGTGAGATATGCACGTCTTTTCCAGTGATTTTTAGAATAACTAAAAAAGAAGCCTTTTGGACCAACCTCAATCCCTTATGTGTGTTGATATCTTCGAAACCAAAACGCCTTTTTAAAATGTCAACCGGCTATTGAAACTTCATTGCACTCTTTAGTCTTTCAGTGTATTCACAACTGCTATCTCAATGTTTTCCAAGATGTTATTGCCGAGGGCATGTACGTTGAAGAAATGGGGTCCAAACTGACTTTATAAGTTTCGATTTAATGTATATAATTTTGCAAAGAAGGCCTCAAATGAGGCAATTCGCCTGTCGTCTAAGACACTAGTTAGCTGGACGGCCAGTACAAGCTACAGATTTGGAGAAAAAGGTGGTCCCTCATACTTTTTGTTACTATAACATTGTTACTTTAACAGATCAATTGTACGAGGCGTGATTAAGGCAATTGACTCGGGCGCGCGAAACAGCGCCATGAAAGTCATGAAGCTAATGCATTTCTCCCGCCTACCAATACATCTAATTCTGGCTGTGATTGCAAGAGCTGGAGCAAAATGGTGGACAAGAAAGGAACCATGGCTGTATTATCGGATTCGAGAAGGACGGCAGCTCTCAACGTTTCAGAGAGCGGTATACACTGCGCCTCGCTCCGCACTGCCTTCCCTACCCCGTTTTTTTCTCAATTCTTGTGTTCGGTTCGTTAAAGGGTAGCGCATTTCTAGCACGTTTTATCCAACGGGTTTACGTACAGTACAGTATAGTGCCAGCGACTGCGAGTATATACAGTGTACTGCACCCTAATAATTATGGCCGTCACCAATTTACTGTACAATGTCGTACAGTACCGTAGCACTGCGGCAGCATCGAATGTAATTGGATTCTGAAGCTCAGTCAGCAGTCAATTTTCAGTATCTGTCATTTTCAGGTTCGACTTTGCACAGACGAATGTGATATCATGTCCTGACGTCCCGATGGATCTTTGGAGTGAAGCAACTTCCTGACGCAGGGTCTCCTTGTTGAGAATCACTTGTGAACAACATACGGTACATGTTCAGTGAAATGGCTACAAGCTGCCTCCCTCTCGACCCCTTAACGCAAGCCGGCGCTGAAACTCCACTCTTCCTATCTCTACTGTAGTGTCTAACCGACCAAGCGTTATCATAACGTAGAGACATCACTTTCCCCCAACGCACTTCTACTTGAAATCCCTTTCAGGAGCCCTGTCATGGTCCCGCATCAACGTTTCGCCGCTGTTCAACTCCTAATGCTGCAGTGTGGCTCTCTTTTGTCTTTCAATTATCTCACAGCCAAATCAAATTTCGTTTGCGTAATGTGCCGGTCGAGAAACACTAGAATCCTTGGGGCACACCCCAGGTGAACAGCCTCTCCTCAATGTGCAAAATGCAGGTAAAGAAGTCAGCTAACTGAGCCCGTAACTGCAGGAAAAGGGTTGGCTCTAGTGATGCGTGGGAGCGGTTGCTGGCGCCTTTATCGTGGGAGATTGGCACGGGGGCACAGATGTGTCGAAGTGCAATTGTCCATTCGGCACTGCACTCATACCCTGCTGGACGAGACTAACAGCAATCATACCGCTCACAACATATTTCCGGAACACTCGGTCGCGTACCATACCGAAAAGATCTACTCTCACGGCTCTCGAAATATTATGTACTGAAATGACCTGTATACCATATTTCGAGGTCCATCATCCGTCGCGCTCTTAAAGTAGCGTATCCCATCCATTTCCTAAATGCTTGCCTCAAACTTCTTCTGTGTAACACTCTGATAATCCGTTCTAAATTCACGTCAGCGATTTTTGCTAGACAGCATGTCCCCAAGGAGCATGCACATCTCTGGCAATGATGTCAAGAGCATAAAGAAACCCCTGCGCGAAACAGGTAATTTTCGCTCTGGATGCAGTAGCAGCGGCTCAATGATAACTGACGTTAACAGAGAAAGGCCGTCACACAGCAATAGGCAAACACTTTCAGACGGGGAGTACGTGTTCAGTTGTGGTGCACGAGCTGGGGCAGCTAGTGAAGCGAAAGATTTTTGGCCAGCAGAATAAAGGAGACCCTTTTCGCGAGAAACATTCCGCAAATACACGTCGGGCACAAATCTCATCAAGGCAGAAAACAGGATGACTATATAACGTTTAAAGGGAAAATTCTAGGAAAAGTCATGTCGAAAAAGAAAAGCTGGGGCTCTGAACAAAAATGATATCTCATCTTGGATGCGATTCATGACCATCCGCTGGTCTCCTAAATGTTTCAAATGAGCATTGTATCGCGTTGTGTTTATTTGCATAGTCAAGCTCGCATCTAGTTTACAAATCTCACTTCCTTTGAAAGGGTAAAACACAAAAGGGTTCTTCGGCCAGCCAATGAAGGGCCGCGCAAACTGTGATGCGCTTCATCATCTCAAGCGGCGGTTGTGTTTTTCATCTTTTCGCCAGTTTGTCAATCATTCTAAGTCACGCCACAGCCTTCGTAGGAGGATTTCGAGCCTCGTTTGCTTCTCTCGACGTTTCCAGGAGCTGATCTTTCAATTGTCGAAACTGGCCGTGTTCTTCTTTAATCTCCGAAAAAAGCCTCTGAAAAAGAAAAGCTTCGCTGAACTTGTTTCACTCTGAAGAAGTACAGTAGTAATATCTTGTTTACAATTTCCCTCATGTATGGAGTAAGTTTATCAGGGAGTGCGGTCATTCAGTTAAAGCGCTCTTGCTGTACCATGCCATGGTCATATTGCATGTCCTACTGGAGGGGTACCATGGTTCTCTGTCTTTTTCGGACATGCTGGCAGTTCCTAATTTGCAAGTCTGTTCGGATGTTCTCCCAGTTTACCCACAGGAATATTATCTTCAAATGGTGCGACAAATTCTGTGTATACAGGTTTAACGCAGCTCACTCTCAGAGATTCGAATAACGGCAAGGCAGGCCAATGATATCAAGATAAGACGAACACATGGTTGCGTCACATGAAGACCTCGGTTATGGTAAGTTGTTTCCAGTCATTTGCCACCTTGTGTGATGACTCTAGCTGTCCAGCCCGATGATTTCCAAAAACCTGGCTTTCACATGCTCCGTAGATATTCCGAAAGCGTCTAAAACGTCCTTTCCGGGTCCAGACCTTCCGAATTCGTCAACAGCAACATGGTGGTTCGCATACTTGGACCACCCAAATGAACTTCCTGCTTCTACAGAGAGAATTCTCTCCCTTTCAACACAAAACACTCCTCTCCTGTACTCCTTATCTTGTCTCTCGAATTGTGACCAGCATGGCAGCGACACGACATGAGCGCGCACTTTTTTCTCAGTGAACATCTGCTTGGCAGCTTCGACACACAGAGACACTTCGGAACCAGTAGCCACAATGATCCCGTCGACAGAACCTTCTTCTGGGGGTCGATTCACTACGTATCCTCCTCTCTTTGCTCCGTCATAGTTGGTGGTTGGTACTGCACCAACTGTTTGACGTGATAAAACAAGAGTGCTGGGTCTCTTCTTTGTGGCAACGGCAACTGAATAAGCAGCTCCAGTCTCGATTGAATCTGCAGGTCGCCACAAATCGTGATTTGGCATCGCTCGGAATGAAGCTAAGTGCTCGACTGGCTGATGAGAAGGCCCGTCCTCCCCTAAGCCGACGGAGTCGTGAGTCATGATGAAAATTGTCCCGGTTTCACTTAACGCAGCCATCCGCATCGCAGCTCGCATATAATCTGTTCGAAAGTGATGGCATGTTTAGAACGAGTGGAAGGGCATGCATGCATAAAGACGTCAGAATCAAGCAATGGCGGTACGACGATGGCTGGTGTGTCTACAAAATGCACGAATTCTGAACGTAGACCCAAACAGAGTCGACTCCTTTCGTTCACACGTAGCACGGTCCTCGATGGAAACTTACCGGAAAAGACGAAAAACGTAGAACAAAAGGAGCGCATGTTATATCCGGAGAGTGATATTCCATTCGAGATAGCCCCCATGGCGTGTTCTCGGACTCCAAAACGGATGTTTCGTCCTGTTCGGTTGCTATCAGAGTAGTCGCCAGAGCATTCCATATTTGTCAACGTGGATGGGGTCGTGTCTGCGGCCCCACCCATTAAACTCGGAAGATGTGGAGCAAAAGCATTGAGAATGCTTTTAGAATGTTTTCTTGTTGCTTGGCTCTGGCTTCGATTGAGGAAAGCTTCGTTCCGTATCGCGTCCTCGACTGTGCTGTCTACCCTCCCGAGCAACACCTCTGCCGAGAAACTCGCATGAAGCCCAGGGAAGGTTGTGCGGTATTCAGCCAACATTTTGTCCCATGCCTTTTCGTGATCTACACCAGATATTTTCTTCCTTCTGAAATGCTCCACTGATGGTGGAGGGAGCACAAAAGGGTCATATTCGTAGTTGAGAGCTTTTCGAGCTGCCCTGGTCTCCTCAGCACCTAAAGCTGCTCCATGGGCTTTTGCTGTGTTCGCTACTGTAGGAGCTCCGTAACCAATGGTCGTGGTAACTTTGATCAAGGTTGGTCTATCGATCGTCCTCTTGGCAAGGGCAATGGCTTGATCGATCGCTATGACGTTATCGTTCCCGTCTTGAACGTGTAACACTTGCCATTCGTATGCCTGAAAACGGAGTGCAACGTCTTCTGTAAAAGCAAGATCAGTTCCCCCATCGATGGAAATATGGTTGTCATCATAGAGCACGATGAGCTTGCCAAGCTTCAAGTGCCCCGCCAAGGAACAAGCCTCAGCAGACATACCCTCCATTAAGCAACCGTCTCCAGCAATACAGTACGTATAGTTGTTGATTGGTTCATGACCAGGCCTATTGTACACGGAAGCCAAGTGCACTTCTGATATAGCGATTCCCACAGCATTGCAGATTCCCTGGCCGAGAGGGCCAGTAGAGACTTCAACTCCTGGAGTTATGGCGCATTCTGGGTGCCCTGGAGTTCGAGAGTTGAGTTTCCGAAAGCTCTTGATATCTTCCAGAGTGACCGAGTCGTACCCGTAGAGACACAAAAGAGAGTACAAAAGCATAGACCCATGTCCAGCTGAAAGTACGAACCGGTCCCGATTGACCCATTTCGGATTTGAAGGATTGAACTTCAAATGATTGTCGAAGAGAACGAAGGCGGCAGCACCCATACCCATACATATTCCTGGATGTCCACTCTTGGCGTTGTTGATAGCATCAACACACAAGAATCGAATTGTGTTGATACACACATTGGCAAGTGCACGCTGCTCTGGAGAATCGTAGGGTGATTTTGTGAGCACAGTGTCGTGTAGTTCTTCTGATGACAATGAACCAGGAGCCTTGAACTGGGAGCCAATTGGGCATAAGCAACCAAACGAAGAGGTCACAGAGTCGACAGTTCCCGAACTTGTACTGTTCTGTTCTGAGACCGTTTCTTCGATGACGTTTGACATATTGGAAATTGTGCGGAGATCTAAGAATGGTGACTAAGCCAAGCAGTGCGGATGTCAGGGACGCACAGATCGTTTAAAAAGAGGTGTGAGGTTGTTGAAGTAGTCTTCCGCCTGCGTCCAAAAATCCTCAAAACTAGGGCTGGGCGGCATGTGGAGATAGAAGTACTGTAGTTTCGATACTGAGCAGTTAATCTGTATCTGAGGCAGTACCTAACATTCAGAAATGTGGAGCGGTAGATCCAGCAAAACAAGGCGGCAGCGTCGCAGTAAGAAGCATGCTGAAGGACCTGCAGCGGATTTCATTACTTTCATGGCTGCATATTCCATTGCATCGGGGCAGGCTGTGGCCATGAAGGACTGCATACTGTTTCTATTTTGTGCTCATGACTTATGTGCTGTTTCATTCAAATTTGTCGCGGAGGCGTTTCATAATCGACCTAGATGCGGCGATAATGCGTGTGAAGGGGACGTCAACAGATTCTGTGTGTCCTCGGTGGCGACACAAAAAGAGGTTCGTGGATAATGGGGCGATGATTGGAACGACGAAGGAAGTGGAGATCGGTATGAAGACAGACCAAAATTCGCGTGAGTACCTGACCTAGAAGAGGGGAGATGACCAACATAGCATACTTTTTTGGTGGTTCTGCCAATACGTGCCAGGAGGCAATTTTGATGAGTTCCACACAGCGTTGTGGATGAGGAGTCAGGTGGGTTGTACAGGAATGTGATTGCATCTAAAGGTCTAAAGGGGAGCTCTTTGGTCCAAATTGAGATGCCCACCCAACTCGCATATGCTTCTTATGATCTACTCTCGTTCGTCACTGAAAACCGCCAGTCATGATAGGCTGCTGCTCCTAGCAAACCCTGCTCTAGCAGTATATGAACGCCTTTCGGCCCCTTATTCCGAAGGACTCGCCAAACGTACACGCAAAATAAGCTGCTCCATACCTGCTGACATTCTTTTAGGAGCGAAGAAATATCATAGCCCCTGAACCCTTTACTTGCGATGCTTCTATATTTTACTGTCTGTCAAAATGTACCCTCGATTGCCAGCAATGTAATAAATTCCTTGCGAGCAGAAGGCAGGGTACGTGGGGTGGTGGTGGTGGTGGGGTGCGAGTCACCAGAAGGAGGTTGACATTGAGCTGAATTACTGCGAAATACACGTATGACGGGAAGAGGCGTATTGGTTAATCTCCGTTTTGTTGCTTTTGAGTCGCACGAAGGGCTTGAGATGAACGTCTGGTTCCCGCGACGAGAGCCAATAGTGGCCGATGCTTCACTACCTCTCATCTCGGAGATATTTGTCTCCAAAAAAGTATGATAAATTTACAAATATATAAACTACGTACAGTAGTAGAAGTGGCGTCTCGGGATGAGCAAGCAACAAGGATTGTGATGGCCTCCCAAACAGCAGGGATTGGTCTCTGGATAGCTACCCTTCCCGTCGGCTAAATTTTGTGTGGTAAAAGGGAGTGCCCCCTGGCCAGGAGACAGGTGGAGAGGGATGTGCACAGTATATGTAGTAGCGATATCTGACAGAGCTGTAAGGAAAAGAACGTAGGGGAAGATCGTAGAAAGGATGAGCGTTAGCGATATCCAACAGTCGCCGCGATCTGACCCCCGGTTCTAGTTTGCGGTCACATCGCAAACATTCCTTTTCTTGACTGCCAGCAGTGCTGCCAGCATCGCATCCCTCCGAGGCTTTATATTGAAATTTTTAAGAAAAGTTCTGTAAGACAAAAAGAGTACAGAGCTCAAACTCCGTTGTGAGGGCTCTACGTTTCGCCCTCGACAACATTTTAGGGTACAGTACCCGGCACGTTGCCGGGACGGCGTCGGGTCGGACCTGGATGATAGGTACTTCCGACAATGTCGCCGCCCGCTGTTACATACAGCAACAGGAATTCGTCAGCACAGGAACGGCGCCAGGGCTGTTCGGAAAAGTCACTTTCCAGAGGTATTCACGAGCCAAACCTTGCGGTAACCACTTCCTCTCTACCGCTGACGTTCTCTCTCCAGTGAAGTCCCGTGCTCCTGTATGATGAGCCGCTCTGAAAGCCTGCGAAGGAAAAGCGTTTCAGAAAGACAACGGGACAAATACAAATCTGTACTACTAGCCGCTGTAGCCGCTTTAATTCTAGAGGAGGATTCTGTCAATCTGGTGTTTGCAAAATTGCAACTCGAGCGAATTTCAAATGCACACCGGGTTGCGCCACGGCGGGTGAACGCTGAAAGGCAAAGGACGCATATAAGTTTCGAAGAGAGTACTGCATTATATAGCAATGAAGAATTCGAGCGTGCATTTCGAATGAGCAGGCATTCTTTTTATGTTCTGCTGGAGACGTTGGGTGATGACCTAAGGAGACGAAAGGCACGAAACACTGTGAAACCCGCCGCGAGATTGGGCATAACACTGCGCCTTCTTGCCGGTGGCAGCTACCTAGATGAGATGCGGCACTATGCACTTTGCAAAACCACAGTGTACGCAATTTTCAAAGAGACAAGGGTTTTTCTGCTTCGCAGATTATCATTCCCAGACGTTCTGGGTGCCAGGATCAACTGCAGCGGCTTGCCGAAGAATTTAGAGTTTCTCGAAGGAGCGTGAATCCTTTGACGGGATGCATAGGGGCTTTGGATGGGATATGTGTTAAGGTCAAGCAGCCGGAGACTCGCCACGGTCCAGCAGGATTTTATTGTAGAAAGGGATACTATTCTGTACCAGTTCAGGCGCTCGTGGATGCCCGCTATCGATTTGTCCTTGCATCCGCAAAGTGTAAGGGGTCAACACATGACTCTCTAGCGCATTCAGTGTCGTACTTAGGCGGATATCTCGCCGCAGGTTTGCTACAAAATGAGTTTTAGGTAGCAGGGGACGAAGCGTATGCTTGTGATGAAAGCTTACTAACTCCTTATCCTGCCTCTCTACTCCAGGGCCACCCATACCGCGACGCTTACAATTTCTTTCAATCCTCCCTGCGTATGCACGTCGAACAGGCTTTTGGATATCTGGTTAACAAATGGAGAATTTTACGGCAGATGGAATTTTCATTAGAAGTCAGCATCGAAATAATTATTGCCACCATGAAGCTGCATAACTTCTGCATTAACCAAAACGGTCGGCAACACCGTATTAATTTGTACAGTTCCGATTCTCTTGCAACGTTGAGGGAAGACAGTGATGACTGGTATCGTATCGCCAAAGAGGAAAACTGGCAGATTGTGACAATGCTCCGCGAATCGTCAGAGGCGGACTTCGCGCGAGGTGCTTCTAAACGAAGGGAGAAGATGGTAGCGCTTCTGGAGGGCCGTGGCATCCTTCGACCTTAACATGCAGGTAGGAAAGTAACTGGTACTAGGAAAAAGGTAGTCGTCCGCAATGGGTGGGGTGGTGGTGGAAAAACAAATCGTTTGGCATGTTGTAAGTTCAACATGTCATGATGGTAATATTTAGTGAGCATCCTTTCTGCTTTATTGCTTTCACGGCACGCCCGGGGTAACGCGGTGTTGTCTCCAGCGGCGCGCGCGCGTGCACCCCGGCCCGGAAGAGCAGGCGGTGCGGACAAAGGAAGGCACGCGCCGCGCAACGGACAGCGCGCAATCTCGCCGCAAGATCTTTCTCGGGAGCGCATCTCGACGGGCTAGGGGGCTGTTCCCCACGGCGGGCCTCCTCACGTACGTATACATGGGCGCGTTGGCGGGGGCCGTCGCCGCCATGGTCACCACGCCCGCCGACGTGCTGGTCACCAAGCCAGTATATACATGATAATATGGTATATGCATCTTTCGAATGCAAAAGATCGTGCGCGAGAAGAGGTGCGTATTTTGTACGCGGAAGTGAGGCCGCGGTTTACCGGCGGTTACGTGCGTCGCGCGGGGGCGTGGGAGCATGCGCGACGGGGAAGGAACGGGGGCGAGATGCACAAAAGCTCTGTGGCGGGGGTGCGCGCGCTTCGCACGCTGTCGCGAGATGCGGTATACGCAGCGCGAGTTGCTCGAGCGCGCTCCCGACCGCGCCAACTGTGGGCGTTCCGCGCGGATCTGGGACACGCCGCTTCGTTATGCGCGCTCGTGCTCGAGCGGCGGCACTGGTGCGGACACGCGTGTGGTGGCAGGCGCGGTGCGTGGCCACGCAATCTCGCCTCAAGATATTTTATGACGGGAGCCAAAAAGGTTTTCCACCCCCGACGCTGCGCAGTACCTCGGAGCGCACAGCGAACGGACGCCGAGAGATTCGGTCAGCAGATGCTTTCCAGCGGGCACGCGCGCGATGCGATGCAAGTTGTTCACAACTCATAATTTAGTTGTGTGTTAACTCACCGCCGTTTCGAATTGCTGCCCCAATTCCCCCGCCCCGCCTCCCACACCGCCCAATATCGGCCCCAAACCCACTCACGGCCCCGCTGACCACGGCGCGCCACCGCCGGCCCGACATCTCCGACCGCCGTACATCCCCGCCCGCCGGATATCTCCCTTCCACCGCTTTATGCCGCTCTGCGTCCGACTTTTTGTTTCTGCCAAGCTCGGGCCTGACTGCCGCGCAAGCGCCCGTCATCGCGCCTTGCAACGACAATCTAACCTCTCCCCCTCTGCTGCGCCCGCCGCTCGCTGTTCCACAGCGCTCCTAAATTTCCCCTCGCCCCCACCGCACCCTCGCAAATGCCGCGCGCCGCCCGCCCCGCGCGCCGCCGCCCTCTTCCACCGCCACGCAGTTAAAGCGCACCCCCGCGCGCGCGCACACATACGCAATAGCCGTTGCATGCACGCGCCCCGCGCGGGCGCACTGCCGCACTGCCACGAGCCACCGCGAGAGCCTGAAGTGATGAAGCGGCTTTATTGCCAAAAAACCTTCGGTCCTGTTTCTGTCCTCCGCTCGTCAGTTGTGTGTCCTCTTCTTCGTCACTCGTCGTTTTCGCGTACGCAGGCGGCGGCGGCGAGGCGGCGTGGGGCGGGGTCGTGAAGAGGCTTCCTGTGTTCCAGTCCGGCGAGGCGATGGCCAA